GGGGCAAGAGCAGTTAGTCGGTTGGAGCGTAGTGCCATAGCTTAGTCAAGAGAGAGGAAGAGAGAGGGATTCAGGACATGTGTGGAGAGAGAGAGAGAGAGAGAGAGAGAGAGAGAGAGAGAGAGAGAGAGAGAGAGAGAGAGAGAGAGAGAGAGAGAGAGAGAGAGGAGAGCTGAGTGGGCTTGGTGGCCCCAAGCATGCATACGTGAGACTTGCTGTATAAGACTTGTACCTTCCAGTAATTCCGAAGTGTTATCATCTCATATGCCAGTGTGCTCTCTTGCATGCAAGGTTTGATTGTGATCGAGAGTGAATTGTGAGTGTGAAGCCATGTGTCAAGTGTGGGGTCGTTGACAAGCTGTGTTAATTTGTGGGTCCATTGCACCGCATCCATAAGGTTGATTTTCCTGTCGATTTTCAAACTAAAAAAAAAAGGATCTCATTTCAGTGTGCCCTCTTGTGTGCAAGGTTTAACGAGATTCAAGAGTGAATCGGGAGTGTGAAGGCATGTGTGAAGTGTGGGGTCGTTGCAGTGGTGTGAGAAGCTGTGTTATCCTTTGCACCTCATCCATAAGGTTGATTTCAGAATCTTGTCAAACTGAAGAAAAAACGAGAATAGATGGCAGGACTGTTACGTCATTTGTCCTCCACTGGTTAGGGAAATAACACGGGCTCCAGTTGTTTGCCCAGTGAATGCTGACTGCTGTGAGATCATTGCTTTTTTCTGTGGCTTTACAATCACCCCTTGATTTGTCAGATCATCCGATTGGCAAACAAGCTCCCAACTGGTGACATCAACGCAATTACTGGCACATCCTTGGCAGGCTCGCAGGATGAGTTTGACCCTGATGACCTGACCTGACTTCTCTTCCTAGTGAAGCTGAGTTTTCTTCCATCACATTGCAATTGGGTAGTTCTAGTCGATGACCACATGGAAGTGCAGATATATCACACAATGGCATCTGTTTCCTTTTGCACCTTCACAGATCTGCGGAGGTGCGTGTCTGCATACGTGTCCTTCCCACTCGGACCCCCTGTGCTGCCCCGTTTGTAAGGAGGTCGGGATTATCTGCAACTTTGCCCCATCTCAGGTGCCCGACGTGTGCAACAGGCAACTACCTTCTTCCCCCAAACATAAACACGTGGTGTAAACGAATACAATGCATAGGGTGCGTTCTATTCGAACTGCCCTAAATTTCGAATACAACGCACATGCGTTCTATTCGATTCTTTTTCAAATTTTGAAACTCGAATACAACGCATATGCGTTATGTTCGGGGGAAGAAGGTAGTGTTGCGCATGTATGCGTGGAGTGAAGCAAGTGGACACCTGTGAAGGAGAAGAGGAGAGACTGCACAGCAATGGTAATGAATGACATGAAAGCAGGGGAAAATTCCCATTTGTGGCAGAAGTCAGTCAGCAGTGCGCTGGCCTCTTCAATAGTCCAGTGTGACCAGGTACGTGCAGAAGGTGTTTTGACCAGAGTCCCGCTTTGGATGGGAGACCTATGTTTCAAAAGCCTGACTGTTGCAATCACGCTAGCTTTGTGTACATAATTGGTAGACGGCGAGAAGCTTGTAGAAAATGGAGGAAAGTGGAATGCGGGAACCCAGCTCTTTGCATTTATTGCTTTATGGCTAGCACACAGACATGGGATATTGTTTAGAAATTTTGAATGCCCTTGCAAGGTACGAGTCGGAAGCAGGCCTAGCTCAGTTGGTACACCCCTGAAGGTCCTGAACTGTTGAAATACAGACCAGGTGCGGAATTTGAACTCCACTCCACTAGAAGCAGATGAGTAAAATATTACAATTCAGAAGATGAGTAAAATATTACAATTCAGAAGCAGTGCAGCACCCATTTGCTTTCGTTTTGGTCACCAGCTTTTAAATCAAGCTGCCAACCGACCACTATCTTTCCCTGCGCTTTGTTTTGAGCGTTGGTTGTAGAAAACAAACATCCGGCATTCTATCGAAACTTCGAAAGTAATTGTGGAGTCCACCATTCTCATGTGGTTTCTCCCCTTAACATAGCTCGGTAGCCTTCGGGTATCAGACTTCCCCTCTCACTGATAATTGCAAAGTTGTGCCTCGTCACCTTTCTGCCACCAATATCTCAGCGTCAACCAAGTTGTAGCAGAAGGGAAATTAGCTGAGAGATGGAATGAAGTTCAGCGCATACTTCTGCCCTTTTCCGTACAGTACCAAAGGTTCAGTCTAAGTATTACAGATGAGGGGTATCCATGCTTATTAAATATAGCAATAGGTTAAAGCTGAGATAGGATATGATCCTTTTTGGGTGTTAAAGTGTGATGGAAAGTCAAATATGTGTGTCGGTCTGAGCGTGTGGACCGTGGTGTGTGTGTGTGTGTGTGTGTGTAACCTGCATAATAAGACATGATTAGTACTGTTTCAATTTTTTTTATTTTTTTTTTCACGTTCTTCAACTTCAACTCCACGGACGAATGGGCCCGTTGTACGACTATAAAGGCCATCCTTCACTCACCTTTCATTCCGTGGAGTGTTCGCCGTGATTTTGTGGTTCCCGCGACGGCTGACGGCTTCGTTGTGTGTGTGGGAGAGTGGGAGAGGGAGGGGGAGAGAGAGAGAGAGAGAGAGAGAGAGAGAGAGAGAGAGAGAGAGAGAGAGAGAGAGAGAGAGAGAGAGAGAGAGAGAGAG